ACATACAATTTCACATACACATCACACCCAGACCCGGAGCAACAATTTGTGGATCACACAAAGAGTTGTTTCGTTCAAATTAAACCAAATAGGTAAAATTTATATTTGTTAACACAGCTGCATAAATATATAGGTCTTATAAATGATATAAATAGCGCTAGGCTATACAAAAAAAAAAATATGCCACACGGATAAAAACCACAATCTATTGAGACTGCACGGTTGGCGCGGTGGCTGGGCAACTGGCTGCCGTGCATCGTGTCGTGGACATTCCCGCACGGAACAACATTTTGTGTGATTCACAAATTATTGTTCCGGGTCTGGGTGTGATGTGTATGTGAAATTGTATGTTTGTAAACGCACCCACGATACAGGAGAAATCCAAGTGTGGGGAAACGTGTATAAAAAAAATTAACGCTTCGCAATTAGCGGCAGTCAGTCTCCCAGCTACTACCATCATAAATGTACATCAATGGCCTGGAGCAGGAGAAGGACCGGGTGGTTTTTAGTCAGTAAGGGACTGATAATCTCGTTCGCCGCGCTGGAGACGAGACGAGTCATTGTATGACTCACCCCCTCAAAATAATGGTTTTAACAAACCGCTGCTTCTGTAGTAATATAAATTCAGCAACTTATGAGTGTATATGTAGAAAAATGACTTACATACGTATGCATTTTGTGTTAATTATTGTACACTAGCTTTTGCCCGCGACAATAGTGACTTCCTGAAGATTTTTTGTATAAAAACTATCCTATGTCCCTTCTCGAGTTCCAAACTATGCTTGTACCAAATTTGACAGAAATCTGTTCAGTAGTTTAGGCGTAAAGAAAAGACAGACAGAGTTACTTTCGCATTTATAATATTAGTTTGGATTAAGAATCGAAGGCCACTCCATCAATAAAATTAATATCCAACTTAAAGTAATGACCTATATATCTACCTATATATGTATATATCTGTACATAAAGAAACTTTATTGCAGTATATAACTTGTTATTTATATACCAATATATTAGTACGCCATGAGTTTTAGTTATTATGGTAAATAAAACTTGTTACGTACTGTTTACATACGTATGTACATGGGTGACTTAATTCTAACGCTGGTTAAGTACCTGCCTCCATATATCAAGATTATGTATTTATGTATGTATATAAGTAATTACATGTTAATGTTTTACCAGTTACTAATGCCAGTAATACTTTTTACAAAGTTTATGGGACTTCTCGTGGACACTATAGCGGGAGAAGTCATTAGATGATTTTCCTCTCACAAAAAAAGGACCTAAAGCCTCTATAGAAGCTTTAGGTCCTTTTTTTTGTGTTAGACTCTTACTGACTAAAAACCCCCTGTTCCTGCTCTTGCTCTGGGCCGAGGTCGCGGTGCCTCATTGCGCTTACCCCGCAACCCCGGCTGAACATCAGCCCTAGGTATAGGGCCCCGTCTGTGGTGGCTATTGGCTCTTTGAGACGCCGTACTCGGGCCTGGTTCTGGTCGAGCGGCGAGTTGCCCTTACGCGCCGACCGCAGACCCGCGCTAACGGTTGTAGATTTAGGAAAACATCGGCATGAATGAGCCGGCTCGATCGACTACCGAAACCAGTAGGTATGATGGAAACAACCACACCGTTGTGTCGATGTGTTGTGTGAATGAGGTTGATAGGACCCAAATCCTCAAATTTCGAGTTTCTAAAAAGGTTGGTTGTCGTGGTGGCCTTAGGTTAAGGAAGGCTTCTCATGCATTAGGGAGTGGGATCGAAACCTGGGAAGTACCAATGTGACTTTTTCCGAGTTATATGTACTTTCTATGATTATTTAGACACCACTGACATACGGTGAAGGTAAACGTGAGAAAACCTGGACTTACAATTTCTAATTATAAGTTTGAAATCGCCAACCCGCATTGAGCAAGCGTGGTGATCAATGCTCTAACCTTCTCTGTATGAGAAGAGGCCTTTGCTCAGCAGTGGGCACTTATGGGCTGCTGATGATGATGGCGATGATGAAAAGGTTGGCAACGCACTTGTTACTCATATAACGTTCCCGTACACCTTATGGGAATGCTTGTTTGTCCCCCCTATGTTATTGAAAAACGTCGTGAGAAAACCTGAATAAGTAATCCGAAAAGGCAAATCCGTCTTAAGCCAATGTGTGCGCGGTAATTTATGCTTATATTCCGTGTTGTGTGAGTAGACTTTATTCAGTATGGGTTCTTATATGCTGATGATGTTCTGTGCATTTCCTATTAAATTTGTAGGAAATTGTTTAATTGGGCTGTCAATTAATTCTCCTTGCTAAATTCGCGTTATTAAGTGGTTTGGGAACCCGTAACCTTTCAAATACCACCTTAGTTCCTCGAGAGATCAGACCAAAATCTTTATTTCTATAGACAAAGTGTTTTCTTCGGAATAATACCCATAAGCGAATCTAGTATTTATGTTCAATATTTTATTCGTGAAATCGAGTTCGTCTTGTTTGTAGGAATGTAGCATGCTTATATAGATTCCTATTTATTTTCAACTAGCTTCCGCCAGCGGCTTCACCCGCATGGTATGTTGATAAAAAGTAGCCTATGTCCTAATCCGGAGTGTATCCTATACCTGTGCCAAATTTCATCCAGATCCGTCCAGCCGTTTTGGCGTTATTGAGTAACAAACATCCAAACATCGTAACTTTCGAATTTATAGGTAACTAGCGGCCTCCCACCGCTTCGCACGGGTCCTACTATCTCGCTAACAACGAAAGAGTCTCTTTTCCCCTCTACTTTTTAATATTTTCTTTCATAAGAACCTTCTCCTGACATCAATAAATACAAAACAAAAGGGTTTGGCAAAATTGGTCCAGCTGTTTTTGAGTTATGCGCTTACCGACACATTTTGCGACTCATTTTTATATAATAGATATTAGTAAGAGAAAATGCTCGAATAAATAACAAAATTCACAATTTGCGTTAAATGCAATGCAGAAAATGTACCTACAATAGATCATTTTACTTACATTCTAAACATAGGTATTTATTGATTTACGTGAGTACGTTAGCCCGACAGGTTATGTTGTCGCCATGGGCAATAAGGGGGCCAAGGACGTCGCTAGGGGGTTGTTTTCTTGTATACAATAGTAGAATTAGATTGCACACAGCGGGTGTTGGATATATATTTATGGTAGAATTTGGTTGTGTGAGTATGTCATCTAGGTACCTACTTATATATTATCTGTTTGTTTTTCAAAACATTATTAAATTCATATAGTAATGTGAATTTAAGAATGCAGATAGGTAATAAATAGATTACGTTAAAATGTGTTGCAAAGCGTTATTGAAAAAAATCCAATTAAAATCGGTCCGTTTGTTTAAGAGATATGGTGCCTAAGACATACTTATCTATAGCTGAAATTGGCAACTAGGTACCGTAAGTATAATAAATATTGTGTTATTAACGTTTGAATTTAGGTATATTTGGTCTGGTTTTAAGTGGGTTTTTAAACGAGGAAAAATTGCGTAATTCAGGATAAATATCTATTTCTGTCCAATCGGCTATTATCTGGTAAACAAATACATAATTTTTATGTGTAATTATATAATAATATCTAAGTATGTATAATTAAATGCACACAACGTTTCAGTAAAGTAGGTTAAATTTCATTTATTTTAGACCGAATGCAAATTGAATGCGTTCCGTTTGTGTGTAGAATTGTGATTAGGTACTTAGCAAAAGTATTTTTTTTACACAAATACTCAGTCTTTCTGGTCACTTTTGCCAAAGGAATTACTAAAAAGGTTAATAAAGGGAAAGGTAACCAGGCAACATTTTTTTTAGGTTATTGGAAAATTGAATTTGGGGATTGACTGGTTATTTGGTAACCTCACTCATACGGCGAAACGCAATGTATGCGTTGTTTCACGCCAGTATTCTGTGACGCCGTGGTATCACTTCGAGCCGGCCCGTTCACACCGAAGCATGGCTCTCCCAAACTTATATTACACACATGAACCACTGTATCATCAATAATCAGATACACTTTACCTAAGTATCTACCTATTTTTTCCAATAATAAAACTATTATGACCGTATATGTGATGTAATTTTGTTGAATATTAGTTTTTTATAAACTAGGTTTTGTCACGTGAAGTTAATTTAAAACGAAAGGCAGTTCTGAAAGTCGAGCAATACTTATATTTAATTTTCAAGGTAAACTAGCGACCCGTCCCTGCTTCACACCAGTGTAATGCTTACACTAGATTTCTCCACTATTCAATTAATGGTGGTTTATATATTCAATCAAAAGTCAAAATCATTCATTTCAGTGACATCCTTACAGACACTTTTGAACGTCACACAAAATGTTAAAGATATAAAGTGTCAGTCTGTCGGTCAGTCCTCTTAGTGAAGCTATTGCTTGTTCCAAAATGTAGATTCAGATAGAGAAGAACGAGCAAGAAACTCAATGGTTACTCTTTTTAAATCAGTTTCACATACAGATTCTTTGGTACATTATTAAGTTGGTTTGATTAAGTGAGAACAGTGTAACACTAATATCACTATATCTATTAAGGAAAACCGCATCACAATCCGTAGCGTAGTTTCAAAGATTTATACATACATATCTAGGTAGGATACGTATAATATAGCTATACACCTATATATGGACAGAAAAAGCAACTTTGTTTTATACCATGTAGGTGATAACTCAAAGGATAATATTATTGACTGCACGGTTGGTGCGGTGGCTGGGCAACTGGCTGCCGTGTAACGTGTCGCAGGTTCGATTCCCGCACGGAACAACTCTTTGTGCGATCCATGAATTGTTGTTCCGGGTCTGGGTGTCATGTGCATGTGAAATTGTATGTTTGTAACCGCACCCACGACACAGGAGAAAATACAAATGTGGGGCAAAGTTTTTTAAAAAAAAATAAGAATTTGGCGCTACTGTCGGACCTTTTTGTCATTATTTAAGTGGTTTTAAGTGGCTACGTTAATCTAGTGTTTATTTTGTTCTGCAGGCAAAATGCGTTGGCTCCACACAGTAGCGGTGGCGTGCTTGCTGCACGTGGTGGTACCAGCCGAGTACCTGCTGCCGGGCGACGTGGTGCCCAACCACTACCATCTCCAGTACACCTTCGACATAGACCCCACCACCAACTTCAGTTATTTCGCCGTCGTTGACATATTCGTAAGTTAAAATCAGCTTTTGTATTAACTAGCTGTTACCCGAAGGAACTACTTATTTCCCGTAAGCTAATAAATAGCACTCAGGAACATTATAGCTATCTATCTATCAGTGAAAGAACTATGGAAATTCGACCAGCGGTTCCAAAGATTACCCCGTACATTCAAACTTACAATTCAACCTCTTTATAATATTGTCTATGTATCTGCGCTACTCTTCATAAGCATATATGTTGGTCGATCTGACCGGTTCAGAGCAGAACAACGTCAGTTTTAGTCAGAGCCTGACCCTACAACCCCTCACCTAAGCAGAGAGAAGTCATAGATGTCACCCTAAACATAAAAAAAAAATTATTGCTTAGGTGCCTAATGTCTTCAATGTTGTTGACCATTATTCCATTGTCTTCAGTCATCAATACTTTCAAATATTTACATAATACCTACTAACCTACTGAAACATATCAAGTATCTGACTTATTTCGATTAAAACATTAATGAACTTATTTAATAAAATGTTTCCTAGCCACGACATGGTAATGGCTTGTATTTCATTTTATTAAAATCAATGCAAACATGTTACTTAATTACATACAAATACATTTTAATTTATGTCCATGCACCTTATAGTCTATGTGGACGATAGGACATCGTAAGCATGGATGGCGAGCAAGGTAAGCTCGCCGTTTAACACATTGAAAAACAATTACAGCTAGACTTTGCTTTTGTTTGTAATAGATTTTTGCTCACTTTTGCTGTATGTTTCACCGTAAACCTGTATCAATACAATTTACTAAAATCAGTCTAATAGTTTAGTCATAAAATCGTGACAAACTAACTGACGGTCGCGGTCCTAGAATTCTTTCCTGATTGGTTTAAAAATGATTCATGTATGTTAAGGTCACTTGAGAAACGTCAGCGTATGTAAATTATTTGTTAAACTAAATATGTCATAATGCATGCATGAATGCACTTAACATGTATTCTCGGGTATAATCAGTCTATAGATTTATCGAATTTATTGATATTTGTTGTTGCTGTTTTCAACTGATATTTTATTACGGCGTACTATTCGCAAGTCGCAATTTGAATACCATCTTCCTTCCTTACATATTTCAAAAAATTTAGTCGCCTGGAGATTTATTGACTAGTTTTTTACATCATTATGAAATGGCGGGAATGAAACCTTATTATTAACAATGTGTAAATAATATTCTAAATTGATTTAGATACCTACCACTGACTAACGGTCAAGGAAATTTGGACTTATAATTTCTAAGTATAAAGTAATCGGCAATCCGAATTGAGCAAGCGCAGTGCTTGATACTCAAAGCTTATTCGAGAACAGGCGTTCGTTCAGCAGAAAAAAATACCAATATGTGAATAAACCATAAATTATTTTAATAGATCAATGTAACCTTAAAAAACAACGCTTTGCAAGTGTCAAAAATTTAAAAAATAAAATAAATGTATAAAACAAAATTTACATTCTTAGTGACATAATATTTTTTATTAACATTCCTTTTGATACAGTTATTTATTTAATTTATTCAAAAATATTACTATTTAAACAAGATATTTGCATAAAGAAATAATTTTAATAATAAATTGAAATTATTTAAGCGATAAAAGTAAATAAACTAGTTTTATGACTATTCAAAAATGTCTCCTCGATATCAGAAACAATATTTCCAATATAGAGTTATTCATAGACAACAGAGGGTCCCGTTAGATACGGTATGGCGGGAATTAACATAAAAATAGTTTGGTGTCTATTGCCTCAACGGTCGATAACCTATTCGAATTTTAAAAATCTATTCGATTTTTTTTTCTCTTGTTATGTTTGCATGTCGTATATCCATAAATTGTTACTTGGTCGGACTTCTAATGCCTGTTAGGCATATGTTAAGAGGTACGTACGTCTCGTTAAAACCTTAATAACAGGGACAAATTAAAATCCCTGTCATTAGTTAACAAGAAAGTCTTACTTCATATTGAGATTTGACTAACTCGCGTCTAATAGGTAATCAAGGCTCAAATCGCATATTTATACGCCAGGATCGATTCGATATATTTTACTTGGTAATAACACTTAAAATATATAAAATAGAAGACTTTAATCAATAGTTATTTTCATATCTGTACCAACTACCAGGAGGAGGAAGAATTCTTTTCTACAGTCTATCTAGCTTCACTGATAGAAAATTCAACTTTAACATTTCAAAAGTGACTTTTAAAGGATTCATTGAAATATGCATTGATTACGCTTTGACTTTGGACTTATCCCTAGTAAACGAACTCTTACTTCAGTGTCTGACAGACTGATCGATTTTTACTGTTTTTTGGTTTGGTTTTCATTTCTACCAACTTAGTAATATACTAAAGAATCTGTATTTATGTGAAACGGACCTAAAAGGAGTAACCTGTTTGTCTGTTTCCTGCTCGTTCTTCTACATAGCACACTTTGGAACGAACAAATTGCTTCACTAAGAGGACTGACCGACAGACTGACACTTTTATCTTTAAGCTTTGTTTGAAAGTGCAAGTACAAAAGTGCCTTTGACTTTACCTGTATTTCCAGAACCAATATACATTCAAGACCCGAGTGAATAGGTTCCTTATGGGCAGACGAGCTCCATTGTAGGTCCCATTATCGCTTACCTACAACCAGACCAAATATTAACCAAACTAATGTCTACTTGGCAAAGAAATAATATCAATAATATTTAAATATTTAAAAAAATGCAGTAGATAGTTATAACAGGAACCTAATTCTAAAACAAGTTTTAACAATGTAATAATTTTCAATTGATATTTTATTATAAAGGTAAACATTGTATGTATAATGTTAGATAAGTATAGTGTGGGTGGTACAATAATAATCTGTTCGCACCTCTTTAATCTCTGCCCAGAGGTCATCGACTTAGAGCCGATACTTCAGCTTATAATAATATGTAAGCTTATGTATGTAATTGACAATTTCGTGTATAGATGAATGGAAAGGAAAGGAACCAAAGAAACTGTGGATAGATATTGCGCGGAATGATAAAAAGTAGTGGGAGAGCTTTGAGTCCTTTCTCCTCTTGGCCGCAATCCCTGATCACCTTCAAAAGTCCGGCAACGCACTTGCATGCTTGGAATTTACAATAAAGCATAAAGATTCGATACAGCATTTCCAAATATTCTTAATTTTGAACAATATAATTTATCCCATTTTATATCCCATTTTCTTCATAGACTTATCTATAGGTACTAATATTATAAAGAGGTAAAATTTGTAAGTTTGTAGTTAGTATGTAGAGGGTAATCTTTGGAACCGCTGGTCGGATTGCCCAAATTCTTTCACTGTTAGATAGCTACAATGTTCCTGAGTGCTATAGGCTATATAACATCACGCTACGATGAAATGGAGCTGAGCAGCTGGTGAAACCGCGCGAGACTTGCTAGTTATAAATATTAGTACCATGATTCTGACACAAACTTTTATTCCAGTCCTCTTTAACAAAAACTTTGGCCATTATTCCGACTTGGTTAAGGTTTTCCAAAGACAAACTAACTTGGTGTTCTATTCTCTTTCCACGTACCAACATGCTTAGCGCTGCACTTATCTTGATCTGTAGTTAACATTATTTAATTTTACGAAAAAGTATCTATTGGGGCGCGTTTATAATCTATTTGGAGAAAAAAAAATATAATTCGTTCTCATTATGTCTATTCGCCATATTATTATACCTATTTATGGCAACATTACGATTGTCTCAACAGACCACACGAATATAAGGACTTGCATAGAATTGACAAAAAACGACAAAACATTATTGAACAAAGCGATGTGACTTGTTTTCCAAACATGTAGTAATTGTAGTGATTGTAATAATCAATAATAACTAACCGACGGTGACAAAGGGAAATGGCCAAAGGAAATACGCAAACAAAATCACTATTGAATCGTACCCTAGCACGATAGTACTGCGGCGGTAATTTATTGAAACACTATACTTCCGCACACCGCTTCAAACTGTTACGGGAGCCCTTTTAGCTTTTTAAAAAAGGTTTTTATATAAACTATTTAGTCTATTTAATTTAAAAGGACAATAGAAACAATTATAATTATGGACAACTAGCTACTCTCGCGTGGTTTCACTTCCGGTGCTTGGCTTCATTTTATCGTAGCGTGATGTTTTATAGCCTATAGCACTCAGGAACATTGTAGGTATCTATCAGTGAAAGAATTTTGGCAATCTGACCAGCGGTTCCAAAGATTACCCCCTATACATATACAAACTTACAAATTTTACCTCTTTATAATGTTAGTATACTAGCAGCTCGCCCTTGCTTCGCACGGGTCTCATCATCTCGCTTACGATAAAAGGATTTCTATTACCAACTCTCCCCTTTACTTTTCTAAAATTTTCTTTCATAAGAACCTTCTCCTGACAATAGCACACATAACAAAAAAATAATCAGTAAGTAGAATTGGTCCAGGCGTTACTGAGTTATGCGCTTACCAACATATTTTGCGATTCATTTTTATATATACCTATAGATGTAGATAAAAGACCTCTCCGTAAAAAGATATTTCTCAAACTGCCAGGGAACTGGCAGGCGATCTTTACACTGGATGTACTTATCTGACATTGCAATTATCTCATGGTGATGACGTAGTCATTATAAACCCTTACATGTTAGGGATGTAACAGCATGCATAATTATAAAAGTATATTTTGGGATACTTATTGAAGTGTGGGAGAGCCATGCCTCAGCACGAAAGGGGTGGCTCGACCGGAGAGATACTACGGCCTCACTGAAACTGGCATGAAACAACCACAGCATTGTTTTTTCCTTCCCCTTTCTCTATCCCTCCCTAAACCCCAAATCTCCAAAATCCTACTCATCAAAACGTCAATATCGCCTTCGTAAGTCTTCTGGTGTTGCGGGTGAAGATGGGCGGCGCCAATTGCTTACCATCATCATCGTCATCCGCCTGCTCGTTTGCTCAACTATAGG